TGGAGCTCAGAGCGGGCAGCGTGTGTGTGTGTGTGTGTGTGTGTGTGTGTGTGTGTGTTTATATATGTATATGTATATATATATATGTATATATATACACACAGTATATATAATTTTTAATTTTTTCCGGAATTTTCAGGAATGTCCACTTTCATCTCTGACCAGAATTGATTTTGTCTGCATAGTGTACGATAAAATGAAATTGGGATGATTTCACACTGTCATTTTGATCCTCTCTTTCAGCACGACACCACAGACAGTGACGATGAAAGTAAGTATTGTTTTTAATTTGTTCAGGCATCCGAGCGTTTGACAGAAATGGACTTTTCACCATCTCGCGTTTTTCGTGATCTTTTCTTTCCCTGTACCGAGCCCATATTGAAACTATTTCCATTTTTTTGTGTCCCCTCCCCAAGAAATGCCTCACCTTGAATAGAAGACTGCACCTTGTGAGTTAAAGTGTAAGAGTTGGTCGAAGTTGGTGGTAGAGAGAGAAGACCAAAGAAAGTCCTGAATCGGACTGAAAGCACCACAACACAGGAGCTGCTCCTCTTCTCTTCTTCTGCCTGGACACTTACCGCTGTGTTGCGTTCTTCTCCATTCACCTACATGCGTGCACAGGGGTGTCACTTCCCTTTGTCCTTTTAACTTTTCAGTCAAAATGCTCCTTTTTCAAAGGTTTTTTTTTTTTTTTTATGGACACCGTTTCTCTTGTTATATTTTGTAATGCAAATTGCACATATTTACTTTGATAATATACAAATGTTCTCCCCCATTTGTATGGAACTGTCAACAAATATTTCACAATAACAGTTAAGTTCATTTCAACCAATGTAATAAACAAGTTCACGTGCAAATGATGCCCCTTGTTGCAAGTGGTAACGTTTTGGCAAACTTTGTTTCAAAATTTTGCACTTTGAAGCAAATACAAAAAAACCCTCCCTCACATGTGACTCGATAATGAGGACTAGTGCAGGTTCAGTTGAGGTGTGTTCATTAGAAAACACTACGACAGCGCTTTAGAGCCTTGGCGTGATTCTGTTTTCTTGTTGTTTGTACTCAGCTGCTGGTTTGACTCAAAAGTTTCAAATAAACTTGACTCACTCTCTTCAAACGAAGTCTCACTGACTAAAATATAGTCACTTGCGGCTCAGATCATTCGTCCAACCAGGACAGATGTTTCTCACACACAGGAGAATATTCATGAACGGTGAGGAGGGCTAATGGGCAATAGTGTGAACCAGGGGACTGTTTTTCAACCCTGGAGTTTCGTGGCTCAGACCAGCCCACTTGAGTTTTATGAAGCGAGATAATTTGACCCTTATCAGTGTGTCAAAGATAGCTTAGCTTCCCCTCCAATATAGATATTCATATTATAGTGCATTTGATGATACATTTAAATTACGACTGAATGTGCTTTGAAGATCACAATGAGTGTGTATTTGAACAAGAGAACCAGAGGCGATTGCTCTAAGACTGCAAGGGAAGCTCAGCTTCCCCTAAAATGTCAAAAAATAAGTGATCAAATAAATGTGTGTACATAAAATTGTGTGTACATGTCAATGACTAAATATGCGCTACAACGCGCTCAACTTTTGTTCCGAATCAGCTTATGACTGGTTATGACGCGACTCTCTTCTCTTTCATTCCCACGGCTTCACTGTGCTTTAAACTGTGTGGACGCTGAGCGTCTCGAGAGTTCTGTAGGTTGTCCCAATGCATTGAAACGAGACGAGTCATTGGATAAATGCTGGTTTTGTCCCGCCCACCGGACGCTCAGTGTCTCTGGGAGTCTATGGACAGTGGGCGTGTATCGGCTGGCCCGGACGCTCAGCTTTTCTGCATGATGATTGGGTGATCTGTTTGAGGCGGAATCTCTTTTTGATTGACATCGAAATGAGCCAATCACAGATCTTTTGGTGTCGGCGTCCGTGGGAGCATCTTTCAATTCTCATTCTGTTCTGAGTTGAACTGGAGACTTATTCTAATCATTTTAGCGACACTCTCTTTGTTGAAAACGACTAGCGACGAATTAATCTTTTATTTCTGGTGGGTTTTATTGTAGTTGCTGTAGTTGTAGGACACTAGTTATGGCCCTGGAAAAGACGCCTTGTTGGTATGACAGGGTCACAGATCATTTTCTTGAAAAGGAACGGAGAGTAGAATTCACATATAAATAAACGGACACATTTTATGATGTAGGCCAAAATTGAGCTTCCCCTCCTTGACAGACCAGCATCTGCCACTGAAGAGAACATAGCGATAGGGAAGTGGACATAGCATGGGAAGAGACACGTTTCACTTATCAAGGCACTTGTCATCTAGTGGTGAACTAATAGAATGTAAGGAAGTACACACAAAAACTGAAAACGGCCAGTGTTCTGATGTTGAGGCACATGAAAAACAGAAGGAAAGGACACTGCTTGTGTTTTTGTGACGTTTTCTGTTTTTTTTTTTTTTTTTTTTGAATTCTTAGTTTCAAGCTGTTTGCTTTGGCCAGGCTACAGTGAACGAACTATCTTTCCGCTCCCATCGTTTTTATTTAAATTTTTGCCCTCGAAAGTTTTTAGTTTTAAGCTGTTTATTTTGGTCAGGCTAGAGTAGCAAGCTGTCTTTCAGCTCCCATTTTACGAGTCCCAGGCTGCTTTCTCCTTCTGCCAGGCTATGATTTATGCTGTGCCACCTTCCTCCCTCCATCGGTTGCCGCCGCTGTCCACCTCCAGCTTTGACTTGAAGGGTTCCGGATTTCCTCAATGTTCCTTTCTGTGTTTCACACTCACCGCCTCTTGTCTGTTGAGTAACTGTTTAGTGTATAAATCATCTTTGAGTATTTAGAGAAGTGCTACATACATATGATATTATTATTATTATTCTTGTTATTATCATCATTAATAATAATAATCAGGCATTGAGTCTAGTGGTGTCTGGCATTTTTAGTTGTAGTCTGATGGACAGAAAGTTTGCTAAACGCATAAGTGCAAAATAAACATGGAGAAAGTCGTCGAACATGTAGCTGCCAGCAAGCAGTTTTGTACGCAAGACAAAAGCGTCAGTGAGCTCAGCACAATTCTTTCAAATCCGCCGCCAGCGTCCAGGCTTGTCAGCAGCATGCTGAATGGCCGTGCCCCCTGTCACTACCTGTGGATTTTTCAGTGCTTTGTGCGGCCTGAGCCTGCGGCGCTGTCCAGTACACACAATGCAAATATCTGCCGAATCACTTTTGCTGCCATGCGGGCCATTTACAAGCATTCACATCATCAAAAGACCCAATAAAACCTAAACATATATCCTGAAGAAATACGATCTTAAAGCGTGAATCCCTCTGATTTTTTTTTTTTTGGTTCATTTTTCAACCCTCCTTTTGATTGTTGCTCCAACAAAATTGCTCATGTGTCAGTGTGACCTGCTGCATTTGTAGTTATTCCCCCAAATATATGGAAGGTATAGTTGTCCATCCATCCATTTATCTTTGCGAGGGTCGCGGGGCGTGCTGGAGCCGATCCCAGCTGTCTTCGGGCAGTAGGCGGGTTACACCCTGAACTGTTTGCCAGCCAATCGCAGAAATCTACATGTATAGTTAAGAAATTAAAAGGAAAAAAAAACCAACACATTTTAAAAATATTTGGAATTAAACTGTTTAAATAGATCAATTTGTCAATCACTCAACAAGAGTAAAAAAAACCCACACAAACAAACAATGATTGTATTCTTAATAAATAACAACAGTTGATATAATAGATGAACATGTTGGACCACCTGAACTTCACTGACGTTGACCCAACCGGGCCACTCCGTTTCATTAATAAATACAATGAAGTCAACATCTTCTTGCTTATTTAAGATTGCATATTCAATATTTTGAGTTATATTCACTTAAATTAATCAACATTGATCTTTTGACTGCATATATATATATATATATATTGTTCATATACAAATGCAGCGGGTCACACTGACACATGAGTTTTCACTCCATACTTTTTAATTAAATACATACCAAGCATTTTCATCAGACATGTTACGTATGGTTTACAGTTATTAAGCCAAATAGAAATTCTTTGCCGAAAAAAATCACTTTGTTCCTCATCACACCAATTTTAACCTCTCAAAAAAACAACCCATGGAAATTAAAAAAAAACAAAATAAAACACACTTTTCAATGAAATACTTTATTCAGAAAAAACTTAAACTATCTGGCCCTACGTAGAATATAATTGTTAAAGGATGAGTTTACTGTGTTTAGAATGTTCCATTAATTGCCATGCATGCCTTTGGAATGGAAACCACAATACCCGGGGAAATTTCAGGCAGGCACGGGGAGAACATGCAAACTCCACACAGGAGACATTGAACTTTGCACCCCTCCAAAGATCAAAGAAAGCAGTTCAAAGCAATTATAATAAAATAAAATATAATCTAAAATAGTGTACTTTCTATTTGATGAGTTGACAAGAATTCCAAGATTTTATACGAATAAATGTGTTACGATCATGATGAAGTATGGAAAATTGTGTGATGAATTAGTAAAAGAAAAGAAAATTGTCATTGCTTGACAGCACACGATGACAAGCTCCAAAGTTCTGGGAGGACTGTCATATATATATATATATATACATACATCTATCTATCTATCTATCTATCTATCTATCTATCTATATACACACACACACACACACACACACACAGAGCGAGAGAGAGAGAGAGAGAGAGAGAGAGAGAGAGAGAGAGAGAGAGAGAGAGAGTTTTCCTGGGGGGAAAGATTTTATTTATTTTTTTCAACACATTACAACTTGCGACAAAGATAATGATATTCAATCAAAACAAAAGAAGACACATTTTTGCAGATTTTTCACGATGTTGTAAAGTTAAACAAATGACAAATGAGAAATTATTGTAAAAGAGTCAATCATTTTGCATTCATATTTTCACCCTTGTAAGAGTCCACAGGGTCCAAAATAGATATTTTGTTCAAAATGTGTATTTTTAATTAATGAAACTTTTAGTCGGCATCGGCCTAAAAAAATCCATATCGGACATTTTTTATTGAAAAGCCATGCTGTGTAGGGCAAAAATATGATGACATTTTGGACATTTGCACGGCACTTTAGAGACATCACAGCGCAGTGCGCTTTGTATTTATTTTGTTGCAGCCTCTTTTCGGCTCAGTTCTAGACGGACCCTTTGCTCCCATCAGCCAAAGAGCAGTGTGTGCCGGTTGCAGACGTGGCAAGGGTTAAGGATGCCGTTTGCAATGACGCCATTGTGTACCGACCCCTCCCCTGGGTTCAGTGAGGCTCTTATAAAAAGGCCTCCAAATTCCCCCCGGCCTGGTAAAGGGGCCGAATGTGTGCAAGGCGTGCTTCCGCCGTACGCGTCTCCATGTTTTGCTAACTACGCCGCCGTTGGCCCTTTGATGCAAGCAGACCAGCGCGGCGCTCCACTCAGGAGCTCTCCATGAACGACATTCTCCAAGTGTCCCGAGTTTGGCTTGAGTCAGACTTTCCAGTTTGAACGAGGTGTTAGTGTGCAGGGTGGGGTGCGTCTCTCTTGAGCTGACTGAGAATTTGTGTTGAGTCCAATTTCGGGTCACCATGTGGGAATTACGGTCCGTGTCTTTCTGGCGAGCGGTGATCGCCGAGTTCTACGGCACCATGTTCTTCGTCTTCTTCGGCTTGGGGGCCGCCCTCCGCTGGACCACGGGACCCCACAACGTCCTGCACGTGGCCTTCTGCTTCGGGCTGGCGGCCGCTACCTTCATCCAGTCCATTGGCCACATCAGCGGCGGACACATCAACCCGGCGGTGACCTTCGCCTTCCTGGTCGGCTCCCAGATGTCGCTGTTCCGCGCCATCTTCTACATAGTGGCCCAATGTCTGGGAGCCCTGGCTGGTGCCGCCGTGCTCTATGGGGTCACGCCCATCAACATGAGGGGCAACTTGGTCCTGAACACGGTAAGACCACCCGAGGCCCACTCTGTGAAAGCATTCGCGCCGTCCGACGAAAAACATTCTCTCGCTTCAAATGCGGGAGGAGTCAACCGAAGGAAAAATAAAAACCATTCACGAAACCATTTGTATTCCAATACTGTGTCTGTCCTGCAATAATTAGCTGCACATGTGAGAAGCTCGTACCTTGAAGATGAGAAACGTAAACGTGATGAAGGTGATTTCTCTCCTCATTACCCGGCAGCTGCAGCCGGGCATCAGTCTGGGCATGGCCACCACCATGGAAGTCTTCCTCACCCTGCAGCTGGTGGTCTGCATCTTTGCCGTGACGGACGAGCGTCGCAACGGGCGCTTGGGATCTGCTGCGCTGGCTATCGGTTTCTCAGTGCTGATGGGACATCTTCTCGGGGTGAGACTTCCAAGAGCCTCACATTTATGACCTTGTCATTGCTCGGCAACTTAGAAGGTGGTGTTTTTCCCCCACTTAGATTTACTACACTGGAGCAGGGATGAACCCAGCGAGGTCCTTCGCTCCAGCTGTGCTCGTCCGGAATTTTGTCAATCATTGGGTAAGATCACAGTTTACCGCAAATCTCATCGACTTGCCGGCAACAACTAGTGTGTGGGGGATTCCTGACATGCTGTCTTTGAACAACATTTTATGAGCAGATTACCTCCCTCTCACATTCTCCGTAGTGACCAAACTCTTAGCGGAGTTAAAACGCTTTCTCAAATGCCTAATGGAAACAGTGAACAGGAAAAATTCAGTAAAACGTGCTTCTCGCCACAGTAAGCTTGCTAACTGCACACAAAAAGTATTGTTTCAAAAAAGTGACCAAACGTATGATTTCAATCACATGCGAATGCAGGGTTTGATGATTTTGTTAGTCCTCCGTGAAAACAAAGACATTTCAAGAAAACAAGAGATCTGACGTCGCAAAAGTGATTTTGCCCATTTTCGGACAGGTGTTGAACCCATTCATTCCCAAATTGTAAATAAAGCTCACTGAAAAGCAGCATTATGAGAACATGATCAAAACGCAACACCAATTCGGTTTCAAAAAGCCAGTTTCACAAAGAGCTGTTCAGACTTGCCATCATGAGAGGCCTCCCCAAAATCTCCAAAAGCCATGCCTGAGAATCCAATCCAATACAGCTTTATTTCGCACCTTTCGCAAACGCTGCAGATTTAACAAAGCGCTTCACAGAACATTTAACATCCAATAACAATAATACAAAACCCCCCCACATAATTTAAAACAGCGACAATCATGCGGTCGAAACAGCTATTCCCACGTAAGCCTTGTTGTTACAGACAGGAACACCGCCATTTTGGTTTGAAGCGGACATTTTAGGTTCCTTCCTATTGCCCCTTCAAAGACTTAACTTTCCCGTCTTGGAAGCTGTTTTTGGAAATGCAGCAGTTCTCCGTTGCGACATGGAATTTGGTAGTCGTGTTTGTCATGAGTCGACCCACAAAAAGCATCAAGAAGCTTCATTTCCAAAGCTCTATCAAAGTCCAACCTAAGATGTCTTCCGAGCAAATGTGAAGCTTCCTGCACCTACATCCTGACCGGAAGCTCCCCCATTTCTTTGTCTTTTTTTTGTTGTGCGGTTTTATGTAAGCTGTTTCAAATGACTGATGTGCTCCAAAGCATAACACACTCTATTTTCCTTTTTTTTTTTTTTTTTTTTTTAACACTCACTTTTTTTTTACAGGTATACTGGGTGGGGCCTTTGATCGGCGGCACTATCGGCGCTCTGCTCTATGACTTCATGCTCTTCCCGCGAATGCGCAGCCTCTCCGAGAGGCTCGCCACACTGAAGGGCACTCGGCCCCCGGAGTCCGAGGGCCCACAGGAGACAAGGGGAGAGCCCGTGGAGCTCAAAACACAGGCCCTATAAGGCCGCAGAAGAGCCGCGAGCTACTGGTCAAACACCTCTTTCCATTTCAATCCTGGTTCTGACAGCAGAATTGGGTCTCCTCCCTCCCTTTGGACTGCAGGACAAAGATGAAGGCTTTCGACCAAGTCACCTTCTTTCTTTTCGCTCGTTTTTTTTTTTTTTCCTTCTTTTGGGCTAGGAGTGAAGCTATACAGTAGAGACTTCAGCATACTTTTCTTTATTCAGCCGCCATGATTTTGCTCTTTGCTTTGTTCCACTTCATTTAACGTGTGTATTGTACTTTACCAGAATGAATCCCATTTTTTAAGTGTGTGTGTCAGAGAATGCTTTTTGTCAGAGAATGATTGTTGTCTGTCACTGTATGTAGGCTTGTTTTACCACTTTTCTTTTTTAAATTTCATTTCTGCACATGTATGCGAATTATAAATCATCCAAACTTAGTTTTAATCAGGGTGCTGATAAAAAAAATTCAACTATTTACAAATAGTCACTGCTCGATATCTATCAATCAGTCAAATCAAACTTTATTTGGAGAACACTTTTCATACTACATATGATATTCAAATCAAATCTTGTGTTGCCATTTTTTTCTTTTTTAAATTAAAAAAAGTAAATGTGGAAACATGCTTTTTAATGGACAGATGAAATGCCAAAAATCACAAATTTTCTTTGAGAAATATTTGAGGCCTTATCATTTTGGAGCAAAGGAACACACACACACACACACACACACACACACACACACACACACACACACACACACACACACACACACACACACACACACACACAATCACATTGTTGGTGTCCAATGAAAAGCATGGATCTACAAAAGCCAAATTGAAAGGGATTTTTTGTTGTTGTTGGTTACAAAATAGATTAGTGGACAGATAAATCAGCATAGCCAATCTTCATTTAGTCATGATTGGAGCCTTTTAAAAAGAGCCCTATGCTCATTTAGTATAATAATTCTTAAACACACAATGTTGAGATCCATGCTGTTGAAAGGACTCTTCAGCGAAGGTAGAGATCATCATTATGAATTTGCCACTTGATCTGCAGGTATATACAACTTCAAACGAAAAAAGGGCCCCGTTTCAATGTCAATTTGGTCCCCTTCCACTTTTTCCTACTGTTGGTTTGCATTTCCTCGTGTTTGTCAAAGCTGAGCGGCTAGAGCACATACACAGGCTGCTGTTGCGTGACATCAGGATGGAGGTCAAGACTCCACTGCCCACCCCAAAAAAATCAGAGTGCATGAAGTGCGCTCCCTTGAAAACCACATGCTCGATGTTATGCTCCAATGATCACATTGCCTCATTGGCCAGACATGCAAGCTTCTGCCGTTTCCTGTGTGGTTTCCCTGACAAGCGACGGGTTGAATAGATTTTAGTGAGGCATTCAGAATTGTTTTTACTTTTTTGTGATGTACAGTGCACAAATTGTCTCTCTCTCTTTTTTTTAACGACGTTTGAGGATTTTTGAAGCTAATAATACAGTCATCATCATATACACTTGTGATGTAATTGTGTTCTCTTTGGCTGATGCAAGCGATGTCGAGCAGCAGTTGACACAACTCACATTCAATGGACAGCCTATATCAGGGGTCCCCAACTTTTTTGCCCCATGGACCGGTTTAAGTCAGACAATATTTTCAGGGACCGGCATTTAAGGTGTGGCGGATTAAGATAACAAAATAATATGGTATGAGCTGCATGAAAACTGTGGTGTTTTCGAAATATAATAATTAACACAAGGAGCGTCTAATCTGGTCGCAACACTCTTATCGCTATGGTAATGTTTAATGCCTTCAAAATACGATACAACGCAAATTCAAAGTGCATGAAAATGACGACTCACCACAGTCCCGAGCTTGATTTTCTGCAATCAGACAGTCCCATCTCGGGGTAATGACACCTCAAGTGTGTGGTTTATGTCGAGTCTACTTCGTAATTTTGTTTTAGTCGCCGTTGCTGCAGAAACTCCACACCTGACACAGGTAGGATGCCGGAAATAGCAACAGTGCTATTGTGGCGATCTCAGAGTATTCAGCCATAACTTTGATCCAGTTGTTTCGAACGTACTTTTAAGGCCGCCGTCATTTGCGATCTCCAAGCAGCTCTTTTACTTATTTTGCGGGCTTCAGCGTTTTGTTTATGAGCGTCATCGGTCACCTGACCGAGAAGTGTGCCTTGACGTGAGTCAAGCGTGACACAGACGGATGTAACAGAGAATCCGGTAATTTTTCAAAATAAAACATATTTCGCATTCCGAAATTAATAAAACGGAAAAAAGGCAAGTTCTTTCTGTGCGGCCCGGTACCAAATGCCCTGCGGACCGGTACCGGTCCGCGGCCCGGCGGTTGGGGACCCCTGGCTTAAAGTAAGGCTAGTTTTGGCACCGATATCGATACCTCGTATCAATACTTGCCCATCTGTACTTTCTTTTCTACTATTGAAAAGAGCACAGCAATTTGATAGCTGAAGTACATAGAAACAAGCCACTCTTATGAGAGGTATGGAACAAAGTTTGAACCTCAATCCACGTCTTTTTTTCCTCCCAGCTTTAACCCCTGCAACTGAACGCAAGGATGCATTGTCTATTTTTAGCTTCTCTTGAATCTTGCTTACTGCTCATGAATTCTTCAATGAGTTCTATGTTGAAGTGTGAACTGTTCACATTTTTTTTTTATATCAAATCCGCACACATTAAATCATTCGGCTCAGTATACTGCTCGGCCTCACCAAGCCTGAAAGTATTTTCCTTCTGCAGATTTGGTTGCCGTTATTTTCACTTCGGTTAGTGCAGTTTCCACTTGTTTTTTTTTCATTCTTTATGGTTGGCAGGTTTTGTTTGATCTTTTATTTGTATTCATTTTTCCCTTTCTATACAGTACACGTACTTTAGTTCAGCTAGCTGGCAGTTCTTCAAATAGGAGGCACCACGTTCTTGCTTATAGCTGTTTATTTGTCATCAATGTTCATTCGATGTACAACTTTCAACACAACATCAGTGCTATTATCATTAGCCTCACATGAATATAAGTCTGCGATCTTAATTCTAACATAAAATGGGAAATGATGAGACTGGCTAGCTGGAATTAGCATCGCTACAGTTGTCATTTAAACTCATCAGACAACTCTTACTAAACATGGTGGCAGGAACACAGACAGACAAACAATACCCACAGACAAAAATCACCTGCTCAGTGGATACAATTAGATTTTCTGAAGGTCAGTTTAAGTTTGGGTCTACTTCGGTGTGGCTTATAAACCATAGCTCAGATTTTTAAGTTTATTTAGTGGGGGAAGCTTATACATTGCGCTGTGCTCAATAGACCAATTTTTTAGAAGTGCTATTTGCTGTGACAAAATAGTGCCACTGTCCAGATACAGTATATGGCACCGGGTTTGTTTCAAGTAGATTTTCAACAGCCACAGGCATCATGGTGTCATTGTTTGAAAGTTACGTCAATCAAATTGAAGTGGCACAAGGAAGAGATGCCAAACGCTAACATACACTGTTGCTGCAAAACAGATGAAATCGTTCTCCGTTACAATCATTCAAATGCAAAAAGCAATAGGCTCAAAAACTGCTGCCAGTTGCACATAGAGGTCAGCTTGATAGAAACGAAGCGTGACATTAACATTTTTGTAAATGCCCAAACAGAATAGCATTGCTTTTACAGATGACACGAGTACATTGCTTACATTGGAAAAGGAAAAAACAAAAAACAAACAAAAAAAAAACAGTGCGCTTGTTGATTTTTGATGGGTTCACGTGACTATACTGAGGACCATATACAGCCATCTCGTTACCACTGCGTCCCGCGTCCTAGACGCATAATTTTCCCATGGGACGCATAGTTCCAAATAATGTGCGTTTTTGGGACGCAAGGAAATTTCTCAGTCAAAAAAAAAAAAAAAAAAAAAAAAACTACGGCAGGCCTGAGGATTTCATGGTAGCTGTCGTTACCGGTAGCATGTCGTTTCCGTGACATCATTTTGACAGTACCGAAAAATGGTTTAACCATAAAAGTCACCGCACACGAGTTGACTGTATGCGATAGAATCTCTTCTGTGTGATCAATGCGATTTCACTGTGCCTGTATGTGTGTTTGTGATGTGGTGTGTGAGTGTGTTTCTTCTAATTTACTTTCGTTTTGTTTTGTTTTCAGTGTTGGGGGGGACGGAACAGATAACGTTATGTCCGCATGCGGGTTGCTATTTTAGTCCGCAAACTGGAATCTCGCGGATGAAAGTTTGAGATGGCGGCGAAAAAAACTCACAAAGGTCTACTAATTACAACATTTAAGAAATGGGAATGCCAGTCTGATTTTTCGTATGAATCGTCCGAAGGGCGTATCACTAAACTCACCTGTGACGTATGCACAGAACACGAGAGCGAGATACGAGAGGCACGATTACGAGGCAAGTTGGTCATTAGATCTATAAGCTAATCGCTATGAAAAATATGATGAAACAGTATTGGTTATTCTATAATTTACTGGTTGTA